TAGAGAGCAAGATTTAGTTATAACCAACAATCTAGAATTCATTTATCAACAACTTTCTTTCTTCCATTTGAACTCATTTCAATTATTTCTTTAGTCAGCTTTAACAAGAAAAAAATCACCCAATTAACCACAATAACCTAGCAGAACAACCCTACAACAGAAAAACACACAGACCTGTCGGCCTTATTTGTAAAAGCACTGATATTGATGTAAGACTTGTGGATTTATGGTGATATGACTTTCATCTTTATGTGAGGATGAATTCTTCTTTCATTCTTAACTAGCATTGGTTGTTGGATACATGGATGTATTGTAAACAATATTTTTAATTCGATACACCACAACATTATTTCCTATTGTTTCACTTATTGCCAATTCTAACAAAAACCAATTATCAAAAATCCAGTTAAATTATTTTCCCCCATACCACAACACAACGAACAAAACAAAAGGACATTCAGTCCACAATTTATTGCTCAAATTCGAACAACAATTCAGCATAAATAATATTTTAATAACACATTCATCTTAGTGAGTAATTAATGTTCTTCACCTGATAAAAATCTTCCTTGCTGCTTTTAGTTCTCATCTTACAGTTCTTCATAGCTATTCATTTCACTAAGCAGGAGATCCATAGCAGCTTATGCAACCATGATAGCCCTGTCCGGATCCCCGCCACAATTTTGCAGTCGGGCCAGGGACGGGTCCCCGCCTGAACCGTTCACCCTCCTCGAGATCACCGTCGTGAGGGCCGCATCCCCCATGAGCGGATTCATGGGCCCGCCGAGTCGGTTCGGGTCAATAGAATCAGGTGAAAACGATCTGCGAACGAAATCGGGTGTGGGTGGAAATTCTTGATTTTGTCGGCACAGTGAGCCAACTGCATCGCTCGCCGGAATTTAAAAAGGGAGGTGATGGTTGCGCTTGTCGACGGAGGTGTAGGGCGGTGGGTGAAGTCGCGGGTCGATTTGGGGAATCGGGTGTGGGGTTTGGGGTTCGGGTCGGACGGGTCAACGCAAGTGTCGCGGAGTTGCAGGTAGAGGAGCTAGAGGTCACTATGGTTATGGCTATGGAGGCGAAGGAGAGCTTGTTGTTTAGGATTTGTGCATGATTCTCCATGGATGGATCGCTCGATTTTGTTTTATCAGATATGTGGGGAGAGACTAGGGAGAGAGAGTATAGATGAGAGAGAAAACATATTTTACAAATAAATAAAATGGTTAATAATAATATTAATATATATATAGGTAGTTGTGAGGAAAGAGAAATTTAAGTTAGGGAGTGCAAAGGAAAAAATAAAGTGGTAGGGACTGAACAGGAAAATGAATATGGTATTAGGGATTTATTTAGAATTATCCGATAAAAAAGATCGACCATTGAAAGTTATTTTTTGGTTGGAGACTATTCACGCAGACTCGCAGTTTGTAGAAGACTATTTGAACCAAAAATACCGACAAAAGAAAAAATACCACTACAACTAAAACAGCAGGCGAAATTTTATCGTCAGAGCTGAAAATGGAGATGATAGAGCACAAGTACGTACAAGTCAACGGTCTGAAGCTCCACGCGGCGGAGATCGGTCGCGAGTCGTCTCCGGCGGTGGTGTTCCTCCACGGATTCCCGGAAACCTGGTACTCGTGGCGGCACCAGATGATGGCCGTCGCCGGATCCGGGTACAGAGCGATCGCCCCCGAATACAGAGGGTTCGGACTGTCCGACCCGCCGCCCGAACCCGAGAAGACCACGTTCCTGGACCTCGACGCTGACCTCCTCGCGCTTCTCGATGCTCTCAACCTCTCCAAGGTTAGTTAAGTACTCCAATTTAATGTGAAATTTGGATCTTCCTCTCCTAATTTGTTTGCCATAAAATTAGCTTTTTTGAAGTGAGTTGTTTCCCGTAAGTAAAATAGGCCTAATTTATAAGTCTGGTGCACGACAAATTATGAATGTCTGCAACATGCAACAGGTGTTTTTGATTGGTAAAGATTTCGGAGCTGCGGTTGTATCCATATTCACCCTTCACCACCGTGACCGAGTATTAGGCTTCGTGACAATGGGTGTACCGTTCATGCCCCCGCGCCCACCCACACACCATCAAAACCTCCCCGAGGGCCTCTACATCTCAAGATGGAAGGTTCACTATTAGTATACTTCAATATTTTTTCTGGTACATTCCTAATAGGCTTCTTCCGTAATTTGCTCGTGCCATGTTTTTGTGTTGTCACAGGTGCCCGGGCGTGCAGAGGCTGATTTTGGTCGATTCGATAACAAGACGGTCGTTAGGAACATTTACATTATGTTCTCCAGGAGCGAACTACCGGTTGCAAAAGAAGACCAGGAGATCATGGACCTAGTCGAACCAAACGCGCCCTTACCTTATTGGTTTACCGAGGAAGACCTGGCGATCTATGGAGCCTCGTACGAGAAATCAGGTTTTCGAACTCCACTTCACGTTACCTACAGGTACTTAGTGCTGTTAATTAAACGAGCCTGGCTTGGCTCGAGCTTGGGCTCATTTAAAGCTTGACTCGATAAAGCTCGTTAGGCTCGAAAAGAGAAGTTTTATATAATTTTCTATAGTTCAGCTCGTTAAAGTTCGAGATCGGCTAGTTATTATTAGTCTGCTCGAGCTCGATTTCATGCTCGTTTATTTAACGCTCTGGCTCGTTAAGGGCTCGAGCTCGGCTCGGCTAGTTTACAGACCTACAAGTACTATTAAGAGTTATAATATTTACAATTTAACCACCAAAAGTACATTCAGAGATAACTGTGATTCAAATAAGGTATTAGACCTTTTTTTTTATAGGTCAATGGATACACAGTACGACATATCAGATCCTATAGTAAATATTCCGGCTATGTTGATTATGGGGGAGAAGGATTATGTGATGAAATTTCCGGGAATAGAGGACTACATTAGGAGTGGGATGGCAAAATCGTATGCGCCCAAATTGGAGATTGCGTTCGTGCCTGAAGGAAGTCATTTTGTTCAAGAGCAGTTGCCTAATGAAGTGAACAGTCTCATCCTTAACTTCCTCAAAAGCCACAGTTAATCATCAGAATGAGCGTAACTTATATGTAGTGTGTGATTCGTGAAAATTCCATCATGTGAGAGGCCTTTAATGCATATGGAAGACGATGAAATATCTATAAGATAGTAGTGTTCAGAAAGATCATTGTTGCTTTGATTTGTTACTGTAATCGATTCCAACCTTTTTGCCCGATTGCTAACTTATCTTTTTGAGTCCCATCAGAGTGTCGATCCTCCTCTCTCATCCTCTGATGTCCAACATCGACAGTCGCGAACTGCGTCACAGTCTCGAATCATGCTAAATTGAGACACATGAAGAGTGGATACTTGTCCATTTTGTTTTTGCAAACTAAATCGATTATTGAAACTAACTATACATTTTAATATTAAAAATACTTTATTACGTCGAATGTAATAATTCAAAGTTTCAAACTCCGAATAATTATATTGAGGATGCTTTTATGACAGTATGTGCTTTGATTTATGAATATTTATATAACATTTATTAGTGTTTGTGTCAGAACTTACTTTATTAATGTAAGATAAATTCAAGGTTCTCATCGTCGAATTGATCAAGTTATTTATTTTTCGATTTATTGGTTGGACCAAAATTAATTTATTAATATTTTAATATATATAGCACTTTTTGCAAACAATTTAAATTTTTTAAAATGTTTAAACTAATTACTAAATAAACTATAATCTCCATTTATTTTAATATATGTTTTTATTTTTTATTATATTTAAACTAAGTTTAAAATGTAACGAAATTCATTTAAAAAATCGTATCGATCCTACTAGTCCGATTAACTGGTATTGATTGGTAGCAACTGTTTTATTCAAGCGAACCGGACCGGTTAATAAATTGTTTCCTGGTTCACTTAGTCGGACCGCTCAGTCTAATACAATTTTAAAAACAATGTATAAATCATGATTGATATTATATATATATATATATATATAATATAACAGTACGATTGTAATATCAATTTTTTCTTGTGATCACTAGGGGTGAGCATGAGTTGGTACGGTTCGGAGATTGATGAATCTCTGAAACCGTACTGAAATTTAAAGATTACTAAATTAGATCTCCGGAACTGTACAAAAAAATCGGTTAAGTTCGATTCAGAGATTTTTATTTTCGGTTCGGTTCGGTATTCGGGATCATTGGAACAGTTCAGTTCGGTTTGGTTCGGATCTTCGGAGATTTCTAATTATAGTTATTATTATTTTTTTGAATGACGACTTAGTTATGTTTTTTTTTTTATGCTTAAAAAAAAACCAACATTCATCAATTTCATCATATTAAATATTTTATTTTGAAATCAACTTTACAAGGAACTCTAAATTTTAGTTATAACTAAACTTTTGCAACTAACGTTAAACATTTAAAAATAAATAAAATTATAATATAGTTTATTTTTTAAATAATATTTTATTTAACCTTTCATACCATTTTAACTATAATATAGCTAGCAATTACATATATAATTGCTAGCTAAGCAATAAATTTTACCTAATAAATTTTACCTCATGAAACTTTAGTCTTAATAAATGATAGAGAGGAGAGAGAAAAAATAAAAATATAATGGTGTATTGATGTGTAATTAAGTAGGTGGGCAATTTGATAACTTTCTTAACTCAAAAACCGTTACACTATATTATTATTATTGATAATTATTATTATTATTACATTAATTCACTATATCCCATGATAAAAAAAAATTATTGCACTTTTTTTTTGGTTAATTAAGACAAAATTCGTTACTTATTATATTAATTGAATAATAATTATATTTTTTAATTATATCATATAATATTTATTATTAAAATTAATAATTATATTTTACAATAAATGATATATGAAAGTTACATAAACATAAAATATTATATTGTTAAAACTCTGTGTTCAAATGATTTATATCTAATATCAAATTATATTTTTATTTGATTAAGCAATTTTTATTCAAATAAATTAATTTATCTTAATGTCATAGTAAAATTTCTTAAAACCACATAAGAATTTTTATAATAAGTTTAATATTTTTCAGCTAATTAATTGGTCATGCTCCCTCAGAACTAAAAATACGTTATTTATTACATTTTATGCAATTTATATAGTGATTCATTTGTGCAATGAAATCATTATCTACTATTTATTTTAACCATGATCAAATCTTAAAACATAATGCCAATATCTAACTTATAGTTTTTAATATTTTATGCATATATATATATATATATATATATATATAATACTCTGTGTTTGATATTTAATATTATTATCTAACTTATAATTTTAATATATATGCATACAAATAACTTATAATACTTTATTTATATCTGTGCAAATGCACATAGTCAAATACTAGTTGAAGTAAAGTTTAAACATTTTTTTAAAATATTTCTTTAACCTTTCATACTATTTTAATCTTTTTTTATTACTATATTTTCTTTTTTAGTAACATAATTCGGTTCGGTACAGTATGAGACGGTTCAGTTTGGTTCTCGGTACGGATATTTGTGAAATCAAAAGAACAGTACCAGTTATTTTTTTGGTTTAGTTCGATTCAGAAAAAGTCAACAGTCAACGATTATTTTTCGGTTTAGAGTAATTTCGGTACGCTATTCGAAATTCTCCCGAGTCACATTCTGCATCACACACTTGAACAGAAAATCACACTTACTATAAGATGGCCTAATCTTAGCCACCCAAAGAAGACTAGTAACAGTGCGGTAAAAATTAAAATGTATTCTCAGTGCTTATGAGACGAAAACTCGTCCTCCATTGACGAAATTTTACTTTTCCGCGAGCGTGGAAAAATGGAGAAGATAGAGCACAAGTACGTACAAGTCAACGGTCTGAAGCTCCACGTGGCGGAGATCGGTAGCGAGTCATCGCCGGCGGTGGTGTTCCTCCACGGATTCCCAGAAATATGGTACTCGTGGCGCCACCAGATGATCGCTGTCGCCGGATCCGGGTACAGAGCGATCGCGCCCGATTACAGAGGGTACGGACTATCCGACCCGCCGCCCGAACCCGAGAAGACCACGTTCCTGGACCTGGACGCGGATCTCCTCGGACTTCTCGATGCTCTCAACATCTCCAAGGTTAGGTACTTAATTAATAGCATTAATTAGTGACTATCAATCGAGATGATTAAGCGAGATAATTTCCTAACGCCCTTAGTATATTTATTTTTAGGGATTTGTTCTAGTTTTTTTTTTTTATTATTTTTTTAATTGTATAAAATTTTAGTTAACAAATTGCTTCTAAAGTATACAAAACTCACAATTTGTCTTTCATAATTAAAAGCCCTAACCAGTACTAATACTCATGTGCAACATGGGTGTTGAGTTAATGAATATATGTGTAAAATAATTTATGTCTAATACCAAACCTAACTCCAGAGCAAAAATAATATAAAAACAACATCACGAAGCATAGATTTTCGCCATGTCAGCATTCGAAGCGTGAGAATTTGCCACCTATGCTTAACACGTTTTGAATTAATATATAGGGAGGGATATATGACACAAAAAGAATTTTAAGTCAATTAATTATGAATTTTAAATTGATTTGTGGATAAACGATCCATCGGGAATCCTTCAACCAACGTAGAAGGTAGATGACACATGTGCAAAAGAAAAAACTTTAGTTTAAGTTTTTTACTGATGTAGATATTCGATTTTTGATCTATTAGATATGTCATGGGAAATCTTATAAGACCCAGATTTCTAACAAGTTAAATCTTATGAAAATCCAAATATTGTATTATGATAAGTAGTCAAACAAATTGATAAATATCTAGTTTTTCTTGAGTTGGTAACCAAAATTGCGCGTAGGATTTTTGTACAACCTACAAAGTTCGTCTTGGAAGCTTTCAAACAACCTGATAAAAAATCAGATATCTTGATCATCGAAAAATAAAAATGAAAATTTTCTTATGCATACCTTCTTCATAGAACGATTTTCAATGAAGCAATTATTAGAAATCAATGAATCATACCTGACGCAGCGAGCAAGAGAGAGAAGAATAAATAGAGTCATCTTCTCCCTAATTATTTATCTTGCATAACAAGAAGAGACTAGATAAAGATAAATATTTGCCTACCGTCTAAATACAAATAAAGGTACTAACAATAATAACAACATAAATATATAATCATACTGAAA